ATCTAGATCTGCACGCTTGATTCCAATCCGATCCCCGTCATAACTATTGAAAGAAGCATTGAATCTTTACTGAATCATCGCGCGCGAGATGCCAAGTCCCAGCTGACTTTACTCACATGAGAAAGACGTCGGTGATGATGCAGCCAGGTAGAGGCTGCTCCTGCCCCATGCCTGAAGTAGAATCATCCCTCCCAACGCCCACCACTGAAGTAGAATCGCCCCTCCCATCGACTGCGTCTGACGTGGAATCCTCTCTCCCAACGACAGCCGTCGGGACCACATCGACAGGTGTCTGCTCCGTGCTCGGATTCTCTCCCACGGGTCCGCAAGAAGAGACGATCTTCGCATTCAAATCCGTCGGCAATTCCGATGGCTGCTTCTCCTTCTCCTTCTCCTTGCCAATCTGCACTGCTTCACCGGAGTCTTCTGGTTTGCGCAAGCCCTCCGCTTCGCGAGAGCCTTTCACTTCGCCCGAGCCGTCTGCGTCGCCCAAGCCTTCTTCTCCTCCTGCCGCTGCCGAAGCACTTTCATTTACCCTCGCTCCCTCCACCTCCGATCTCTCATCGAGTGAAGCAGAATTCTCGCTCGACGCTGTCGGCCCCGTGAGCAGAACCGCAGGCAGCAGCCACTCGCTGATGCCGTCCCCATCGACGGCTGTCAAAGGACGGATGGCGTTCAAACCTGGCGACAAATCGGACGCTCTGGAAGGGCGGACAAGATCAGAACCCGGCGAGAGATCCGACGGCTCCAGCTCGCCGATCGCCTCGGCTTCATCTTCAGGAGACGGGTCTGCTACCCTTGCTGCTGCTGCTGCTGCTGCTGCTGCTGCTGCTACTGCTGCTGCTACTGCTCCTGCTGCTACTGCTGCTGCCGCATTTTCGTCTACCAGTTCTCTCCCCACGGATTCGTCCGCCATCTCCATGGTCTCCGAAAAAGCTGCGCTTGAAGTAAAGCGCAGCTATGGCGTTTGCTTCTTCCCTTCCCTGCTGCTCCTCTGACAGCGACCTCACGATAAGAGCCTGTGATAACGGCAGCTAAGGATCTCAGTCATCACTCACCGTGAGTTAGGAATGGCTGAGTGAGGAGTCGCCTTACTTGCAGCTTTAGCTTTTCCATTCCTGAACAAGTACATTACATGAGAGTCATGAGACACAAAATTCTGCCGTTTCCTGTTTCCTCCTCCTCCTTGCCCCTGCGTTCAAGCTCGGGGCGTCGGGTATCGGTACCGGTACCGGTACCGGCGGCTCGATCTCTTTATGTTGACGCCAGCGTTAGCCTATCGTCGTCGGTGAAAAATAGGAATAGGAGAGAACGGACCGTTGGCGCCACCACACGAAAATTCACATGTGCAAACTTTTGTCTGCCACCGTATTCTTCGCGGCGGGTCGGGCTGCGTTGGGCCAAAAAAAAAGAACTCAGGTCCGACATGGGGCGTGGTCCCACTAGCAAAGAGGTTCGGATCGAATGCCTGAATCTGGATGAGTTTATGGAGATGTGCAGGAAATCGAGATTGAACTGCTTTTCTGCATCTGTGCTTAAAACACATCCAGATTCAGGAGCTCGACCCTATACTTTTTGCTAGTGTGACCTCGGTCGGCCCTGGAGGACCCGCCTAAAGCGTCGTGCTCCACCGACTTCGGGGAATTTCTTTTGCTTCTTTTCTTTTTTTCGGGAAGACTTCGGGGAATTTCCACCCAAAGTCGTGCACACGAGTCATGGCGAAGAATGCGAGCGGGTCCTCCGCCATGACTCGTGTGCACCACTTGGGAAATGTAACGTCGCCATTTTTCTTTTTTTTAAGTCTTTAAAATTACTTTTCTTCCTTTTCTTACAGTGCCGCACAGGTCCAAATAAGCCATGACTCGTGTGCTAGTGGAACCTCCAATATGGGTGTGCGCGCTAGCGCGAGTGGGTTGTGTGTGGTGTGTGGGAGAGGGTTGGCCATAGCTACTGCTGCTACTCGATGAGGTCTCGGTCTTTGTGTTAGCCAGACCCCCACTGGCGGCCCAAACCCTATACCCTAAACATTAAGGGCAAGGGGCAACATGAAATCTCCCCTTCACAGTGAGAGGAAACTATGCTTGCAGGGGTCCCCTCTAGATAGCCTTAAAGAGTAGGTAGTGAAAGGGAAAAAAAACAGAAGCTGAGAGAAGAACATAAAAAAAAAATTTTAAGAAACAAATTGAGGCAAAAAATAAATAAATAAGGGGATGATCCGACGGGACTTGCATGCACCAAGTACTTCAGCAGAGAGCGCCTTTTCTGGAGGAGCGTTGTGGGAACGTTTGTGGCCTTGGCTCTTCAAACCCGAACGTCGCCGGGCTTGACCGCTTCGGAGTCTGAAAGTTGGAAGGTTGTTTTTCTTTTTGTGTGTTGCGCCAAGAGAATTGATGTGAGGATGGGATGGGATTGGAGGTGGCCTCACCTAGGTAGTCAGGACAACCATGGAGGTGGCCTCACCTAGGTAGTCAGGACAACCATGGGTGATTCTCTCCGCAATCACCATGTGCCTACCGGGGTAGTAACTGGCCTCTTTTTTGTTTTCTTTTTTTTTTTTAGTACCTTTCCTGCGTGGGAAAATAGGGAAAACTGGCTGTTTTCCCAATAGCCTGAATTTTCGGAGGTCGGGCCCCACGACGACTGCCATTGATAAATCTGATTGGTGGCCGTCGTTTCGTTTCGGCCTCCAAAACGGTCGGAGGCCCACCGGAGGCCCGCTATTTTCCAAGCGGCAAAGGTACTAGTACCTTTCCCCCGTGGGAAAATAGGGAAAACTGGCTGTTTTCCCAATCGCCTGAATTTTTGGAGGTCGGGCCCGACGACGACTGCCATTGATAAATCTGATCGGCGGCCGTCGTTTCATTTCGGCCTCCGAAATGGTCGGAGGCCCACCGGAGGCCCGCTATTTTCCAAGCGGCAAAGGTACTAGTGGTACCAAGCAATCGCTAGGGGTGCTGATCAGAGCAGACACCACCTGTCGAATCTGGACAGGACGTCCTTTCAGGCCATCTTTTATTTACGGGGAACCCTGTAGTAGCCACATCCATACTCAAGCCTCCAACGAGGGAACATGGGGGAGCTGCACCCACCAGCATTTTATTTACCGGGAACCCTGTAGTAGCCACATCCGTGCTCAAGCCTCCAACGAGGGAACATGGGGGAGCTGCACCCACCAGCAGGTGGGATATACCTGCTACAGCAGGGGCCTCGTCCCACCACGTCCGATTTACGTTTGTGCTCCGCCGTTTTCGACCACGTGCGGCCATCTGTGACATGCGTGACATGCGTGAGTCGTTGATCATTTCGTGTATCCACTGCTAGTGTGGATTGTCTTTGTTTTCGTGGATGCAGCTTCCTGTCGGCCAGTAGAATTTTTTTCTTCATCATTTGTTGGCCATTTAGTTGGCCACTTTGCATTGGCGCGAAGCTTCAATACTACGGTTTTTTTAGGGGGGGGG